TAGGAAGGTCAAGTAGTTATCTAACTAGACTTTTTGTTTAATGAAAAGTCATTCAATAAGTTATATCAATTTTTTTTTTTTGTTTGGGTATATATCAATTCAACTTAGCTTAATTCAACTCTACCTTAATCCTAACTATTTAAATTCGATAAGTTATCTCTAATGCAAATTTTTTAGTTATATTTGTTTTTGAAAAAGTATACAAACTTGTAGGAGGATAAAACCACCGTTCCTCCTAAGCTCTAAGAAAAAATTGTTCACTCTGATACTTAAGTCAATAAATATGTGTATAAAAAAATGTATATCAAAAAATTCAATGTACCTCTTGCCATGCATCCTTAGTACTTTATATAGACTTATCTTTGCTTCAAGGATTCCCTTTACTGTTGTGAGAGATGGCACAACTCCCTTCTTTCGGGATTGTTTGTTGGGAGTTACAGAAATATCTCTAACGCTCCCTCAATCACAACTTTTCTGAGTGATTGACCCCGCTTAGTTATTGCATCTAAGTGCCTTGATTATAAACGATTATTTTGCTATTCGGTTTGTGCCACGATATCAAGCTGTGTCGTGCACTCCAGTTTGGTAGCATGAACCGAGCTATTGCAACTCGGTTCGGTTTGTTTCAGACTGTTGATACTTTGATCCACGTGACTTGTCCCTTCATGACCACGTGCCTATTTCACCTGCTTATCCACATGGCATAATTTTATATCCTTTCAAAACTAATTTTATTTTCATCAAATTAATTAGATGTGAAAAAAATTACAAACTAATTCATCTAATAGTCCATAGTTTAAGCTCAATTTTATTGCATAATAAATAAGAAACAACTGGACTTCATATGTTTGTGAAGGACGAAAAATTGAGCAAAATGAAATAACGAGAGGGTAGTTCTCTCAAATATAAATTCTTCGCGACTTTGCATCCTAAATACATAGGGATTGAATAAATTAGACTTCATCCCCCTAAACTATGACTCTAATTTTACGGCATCCATCGAATATTGATTTGAACGCATAGCACTATTAATCATTCTGATTTGTGATAGTTTACACATAGCGTTAAATTTAATTTTGTACAAATCGGTAAATTTTGAATGTCATGCCACCCTTGACCATAACTTAGTTCCGTCATTGACTATGTCTTAGATTCGGGTAATACACTGTTCAGTTGCTTTGGGAGGTCTGGTGGGTGTGGGCTGAGTCTGACTATGACTCAAGTTGTCTTTAAGGAGCGCCTCAAAAATTTTCCCATCTACACCGCTTTGGTGGGCTTCCTGAACTGGTGAGGGATACTATGGTCACAATCTCTCTCCCTTCCTTTTGCACAAGAAAAAAGAGAACATGGCGCGTTATTTTCCAAGTTGTCTAAGTGAAGTCAAAATTTCTTGAACTAGTACCTAAACTATTTATTGTCATGTATAGTCGGGTTCGTATTATTTATATCCTATGTTTAACTTAGTTCATATCTACTCATTTCTTAAAAGGTCTAGCGGATCCTTCGTTTAACACCCAAGTCCGTTAATGTCAAATGTGAACTTTATGGCATGGACATCTTGAGGTTAGATCAAAATTAACAATATGCATGACTCGCTAACTACTAAAATTATTGTAGTCTAAAAATCAATAGACACACTTTAGTTAGGGCGTGTTGAGAATATAAGACCCGTGTGAAACTTAACACGAAAAAAGAGTCATGCATATTATTAGAGTCAATTGCTCTAATAACAATCATAACATTTTTGAATCATACTGTACAATAGTTGTTGCTCCGGACCAACAAAATATTTCACTCACTTGACTAAACGAGGTGAAATGGTCACCAAACAATTGTAGATTGTCTTTGGGTTGCACCCAAACTAAAGTCAACCTATGGATGTGTGGGTTGGTGGTGAGGGTCCGAACTTGCAGTACTGGGCCAAATTGCACATTAATTCATGAGTCCACACACCAATGCATATCAAGAAGGTAATATGAACTCTCTTGTATAAATGTGATATACATAAATTTCGTTCATTCCTTTGATACCGTAGTCTTACTTCTTCTTCTTAATCTATAAATTTCTTCTGACTGTGGTATTTTTACTGGCTATGTTTAGTCTCAAATGCTGGTCACTTGAGATTGTTACTTTGCTATCAGGCCTTTTACCCAATCCAAGGCTTCAAACTTCAGTGTTTTCCATATGGTATGCTTCTAATTCAGCTCTTTGATATTCGATAAATTGGATATTTTCAGTAGGAATTGCTTCTCATTCCTCAAAATGCTTGTGATCAACCCGATAATCTCTACATTGCATCTCACCATACCTAATGGGGTTGGCGCTGCAGCAAGGTTTGGTCTACATTCTTTTCCTTATTCATTCTGGAACTTTGTGGGACATGTATAAGGGTGTCAATTTTTCCATTAATGCAATCACGGCACGAACTCGGTATGACATGAACTCACAAATCATACAACTCATTAGGACAACTGATAAATAGATCAGAACACGAATAAGTGGTTTAGTTGGTAATGACCATAAAATGGTTTTTTTGTTCCATTTCTTTTTTTGGCATTGTGTAACTTGTATTAGCATTATAAGTTTTATGCAAATATAAATATGGACAACGAAATGACACGACTTGCACACGATTTGAGATGACACGGATTAACACCATTAGTAACAAGTATGCCTGAAAATTGGGATTGATTTATGTAGTACTGGGGTTTCAAATGAACTTGGAGCTGGGAATCCACAGAAGGCACGAGTGGCCGTTTGGGTAGTTATGTTTCTTGCAGTCACTAAGACAGTTATAGTGAGCACAATTTTATTTTGCTGCCGATATGTTTAGGGACGTTCTGACAGTAATAAGAAGCAAGTGGTAGATTATATTGTTGTTATGACTCCTCTTATCTGTCTCTCCGTTGTGACAGACAGATTTTACCAACAGTTATTTCTTGTTGGTTTCCTCAATCTTTTCATGGATTATCTTCCTTCAAACTATTAGTTTTCTGTTACGCCATCCGTTAATTTAAGTTTTTAGATAAAATTGTGGTTTAAAACAGTATCACAGTTTGAAGGTCCTGCAGAGGGCTGGCCCAATAGAACGGCACTTAAACAATTGCTTAGGGCCTCAAAAAAGAGAGAGTTCCCAAATAATAAGTATAGTCTTTAGCTATAATTTAAACTGACTCAAAAAATTTGGTTTAAAGGGCGCAATCTAATAGAAATTCGTACAAGGCCTAGACTAAAACAAATACTCAATTCATATTTCTCTCTTACTTTTTCTAACGATTAAAACACAAGGCAAAAGCACCAAACAAACATTCCCTAATTTTTCACAATTAAAACCTAAAAGTCTACTCTCTCTCTCTCTCTCTCTCTCCCCAAGTAAAAAAAGTTCATGTAGCATAATTATATATCTCTCTCTTGCAACCTAGATTAAATTGAAAAGGTACAGATTTGTTTAGTTGGTAATTTAATTTTTTTAATATTGTTATTGATAGAATTAATTTAATGCAATTATTCTTTTTTATTGTGAAAGTTTGAAATAGTAGATGATTTGGGAGGCGAGCAAATTGTCAATTCAAAGCTTATACAATTTTTTATTATCAGGTGAAATTGTGTTTAATTCTTATTGACTTTTATAAGATATTAGATTGTTCTCTTAATATAATTATTTGTCATTTTAAAATATATTTTATTCACAAGAATTTTTAGTTTGAAATTTATCAAGTTTTTTCAAAATTAAAACTCATAAAATTCTACTTACGATTAACTATAGCATAAGAAAAATTGAATGGATTAGTCATATTATCCGTTGTAAAAATATACTAGCAAAACTCAAATATAAAATTTGATTACTAATTTTGCATCACAAAAAATGAAAAAAAAAAAAAAATTAATAAAAACTTAATGATACAATATATATATATATATATATATATATTGATAAATTTTGATAGACCCCATTTAACACTTTCGCTTAGGGTCTCAATTTTCATTGGGCCGACCCTGGTCTTGCATCTAATCTTAATGCTCCTTAATTGTAATAAAACTTACTAGCGACGACTCTATGTGCGATACACATAATATGTATTTCATCATCTTCTATTATTCATTTCACTATCTTTTCCTCTTTTATATCCCACCATTTAAGGAGTATAGAAGTTCAACAAATAATTATAAAGAAATTGGGGAGATAGTAAGTAATTTTTTAAAAAATTTAAATGTGGAGCTATTAGTTAGTCGTGGGGTGGTTATGCCACATTGGTGAAATGTATTGGATTGAATGCATTAAATAAATCAAAATTCTTAAAATTGAGAAAATAGGGAAGGATGACCTCTCAAATTCTCTCCCACCTAATTTGTTTACTATATAATATAGTGTAAATACATGCTTGACCTAAAATTTGACCCCATACATGGTTGTTTAGCATGTTCCGAATCAATTTGTAGGTAGGGCGGTCAATGAATTGAACTTTGATCCGAATTTGAATTAGATTAGTATAATATGGATTGATATTTATTATCGATAATCTGAACTTGAAACCAAATCCTCATCCTCTATCTTATTTTTCATGGATTTGAATTTAGGTTGCGTTTGAGATGACTTATGAAATCCAAAAAGTACTTTTTCAATAAGTGTTTATCAAAAGTGTTTTATAAAAAAATACTTTCATTGAGTAAATATTTTTTGGACATTCAAATTTAAAAATGCTTAAATTAAAATATTTTATAAAAAAGTCAGTTTGGCTGTAAAAATACTTATTTGTGTCACAATTGTTAACATTATTGAGTGTACATATACAAACATACAACATACATATAATGATACACAAAAAAATATCGTACACCAAAAAATGTCGTACATAAAAGAAAAATCACTTTAATAAAAGTATGAAATTAGAGCTTTCAAACAACAGTCACATTTGTGTGTTGAAAGTCTAAAGCCATGAAAAAATAATGAACCTTTTTTTTTTAAGAAAAAGAGAAAATTTATTTATTCACAAAGAGGATTACAAGAAACAAAGATAAGGCACAAACACCTTATAAAACAACCAAAAAGGCACATCCGGCTACCAAAAACAAAACAACAAAAACCATACTAACAATCAAAATTCTCGAAACAAAAACCAGCTGCTCCCAGTCATCCTCTTCATCACTGCCAGCAACCTTTCCAGAGATTTCAAACAAACTTTTCAAGGCCAAATTAACCTTTGTCATAAAAAACAAGTCTTCTCTTCTTTCACAGAAGAGGCATGCCAAGCTGGTCATTCAACAAAGTAACCCCAACCTCACAAGACAGTCGAACCCGCGCGTAAAATTAGAAGACCATCCACTCATCACAGCTTGAGCAGCTAACCTATCGGCAACTGAATTAGCTTCCCTATAAACATGAACCAATCGATGCTGCAGCTGTTTCAGAAGACATCTGATCTGCCTCAGATAACCCAAACAGGTCCATGGGCAATCACAAGCACCCATACCAGAATTGACCAGCACCAGGGAGTCACATTCAATTACAAAGCTATAACCAAACAACCCATAAGCAAAAATAAGTTGTAAACCATCCAATAAAGCTTTATACTCAGCCACCATGTTGGAGCACTCTCCACATGATAATGTTTAACCAGCCCTTGCTCAAACAATCTACGTAGCCCCCTGCACACCAATCAGACTCCACCTTTTATGAAAGGACCACACAATCAAACAATAGTCACATTTTGTGCCAATGCAAGAAATCAAACAATATCTACTGTGAAAACCAAAAGGAATAGAGGAGAAAGGCAATGGACTAACACACAAGCACAAATCAAATCCAAATTTTCTAAGAGGCATTTTATCAAACAGATTATAGAAATTAATAATCCATTAAAGTTACACAACACACAATCTTATCATGCTATATATTACAGTAGAATAAGGTGCAAAACAACTTTCTAATGCCAAAATTGCATTCATCTAATAAAATAAGACAACTCTAATAATAATATAGTAGTGTGTGTGGCAGTAACTACGGTTCCCAAAAGAGTAAACAAAGAGATGAATAGAGATTGACAAATCTATCAAAGATACCTCTTCGGCATCGTCCAATGTGAATGTAAAACATAGCATCAGAATCCCCCACATTTGTAACCGTGAAAGCAAACAACCATTTTTGTCTGCCTAACTCATCCCATAAAAAAAAACCCCTAACACCTGTCCCCCCAAAGACCACCCCTCGAGACTCCCACAGAGTTCAGGAACCTCCCTTTTTTGAAGTCTTTGTTCTTTCATTTAATTTTCTTTCACAAACGAACCTATGTCTGAATCAAGTTGAAGGCCTTGATCAAGACCTTCATGGTGTTGAACAAGTGGCTAAGAAGGAACTTGAGGAAAAAGAAGAAGGAGAGAACAGAACAATCATAGTCGCCGACGATCTCCTACCTCTTCGGCATCGTCGTCGATGGTCACCAAAGTGGAAGAAGGGCTTTAGACGTTCGCAGCGAGAGGGTACAGGGAGAGTCGCAATAGTCGGAAGGGATAAAAATAAGATAAAAATGAATTCCCAAAAGTAATTTTAGATAAGTAAAAGTTTTATTTTTTAACTTTTAATTTTGGACTTATTTAAGTGATAAAATAATTTTAACTTTTTTAACATTACTTTTAATAAGTAATTCTAAAGACTACTTTATTTTTTTAAAGTACTTATAATAAGTCAAAAGTCTAAAAAATATTTTTTTTTAAGTCAATTCAAACACACTCTTAAATATATCTATATCCGATCCGTAATATATATATATATATATATATATATATATATATATATATATATATATTAGTCATAATTCGTGCCTGAAGGCACTATAAAATATAAAATTTGAACGTCCAAAAAATAGATTTCATTATATTAAATTTTTTTAACATATGTATACTATTGTATATGAATAGTGTTTGAAATAAAAATTATATTAACTACAAATTAATCAATTATTAAATGATAAAACATATGATAGAAATGAGTGATGTGATATTTTTATTACAAAAATATATAAATGATTAAACATGTGATAGAAATGAGTAATGTGACTTGACGTTTGAGTCTGACAGAAGGATGATGAATGAGGTAAGTGATTAATGATGATTTTGAGAGGAAAAATATGACTGAGATAAAATTTAAAGTATGAGTTGTTTTATATATATATTAAAGAAATGAAGTGATTACTCGAAGAACTTTAGTTAAAATTTAGATATAATTTGTTAAATAGTAGTTAAATTAAGTTATTCGAATCGAATATTAGATTGTTACCAGATTCGGATATAGACCATGAAAATAAAATTATATACTCTTAATCAATGTCCAAATATGATTTGGAGATCTCAAATCTTCAAGATGTTTCTAAACTTCCGGCATGTCACCTTCTTGAGAACTTCAAGTGTTTTTTCCTCTTTCTTCTCTCGGACTCTTTGAGGCAAACCCGTGCTTGGCTTTTCTTCAATCATATCCTATAAATCATACGCTTTGAAATAAGAAGGGAGAGTAATTTTTATTCTCTTGTAATTAGTGAACATCATATTTTCGCACAAAAAATACATATTTGGTGAATCTTTCATGATCACCATAATCGTGGCAATCTGTCAAGACTAAAAGTATCGAAAGTTGATTTTAATACCATTTTGTTGGAATTACTTTTATGTTACTTTGGTGGGAAAACCGCTCTGATTCCACTTCGTTGGAGTCAAAAGGACTAAAGATAAAATAGAAGGAAATAGATGAAGATATGAACACTCAAAGAAAAAATAATTTCATATACAAGTGGATTATAACCACAACTTGAACACTTCACATACTCACTCAACTCTATTTAATCCTAACACTAGGTTACATGTCCTATTTATATAGGTCATACACATAACTCCTAACATTATATTAAGGTATCACTACACCCACTAACTCTTGTAACCTTTATAATATTAAGATCCACTTTCTCACAAGCAAAAAAAAAAAAAAAAAGACTCACTTTCTCCACTACTAAGAACATCATCTTACCACTACATGGTATCCCCCAATGAGAAAAAATAAATGGACAAAGCGTACTTGACTTTTATATATGGGGTAGTTATTACATGACATGGCTGTATAGTTATTTAATTATGTGAGATTCACTTGTCCACTTATTATCTTATAAATAAATAGTTACACCATGTTTGATAATACATAAAAGTGTTTATGTAAAATCAATCAATGGATGAAGTAAAAAGGGCTCAACACATGCAAACACAAAGATTCGGGGGATTCGGTCTAGGTGACCTACTTCATTGGAAATGGTTACGGTGGTCAGAGAACCTTATTGGTCAAGAGATGTAGTGTGCTGAGGTGTATGTGATACCCCTATGTATAGGTGGAACTTACAATTTATAAGGGAGTGCAGTCTTCATTGGCGCCCCAGAGCGGGCTTTCATGGAGGTGCCATCATGGGGAGTCCTGATTAAGGCGTCACCCTTGTGACGGGAGTGGGTGGCTTCGTGATGTTGGTGTAACAACCGAGGTGGTTGAGGCTTGAGATGCGTACTCTAATTCTATTCGTAAGATGGAGATCTCTTTTGTGTCACTAGTAGACTAGGTTTTCCAAGTTGAGGAGCTTAGTCCTTGTTGGTTTGTATTTCTGATCTGGGCTTGGCTGCACCTGTGACTTGGGCTTCTGAGCTGGGCCGAGTCCATCAATATCAACATGATGGCATGGTGTAATTGTGACATCCAATATTTTTTACACTAACACACCTTATTAAAACCCTTTAATAACGTAATAAAATTTTAAAACAAGTTTTTTAATTAGTTTATTTGGTGTAAAATTGATTGCATAATAAAGGTATATGTTAAAAAAAAAAAATAAACGTATGTGCTGACAGATTAGTAGAAGAAGATATTTTTCATCAACTTGAAAATTTAGCAATAGATAGTACATGAATGTGATAGTTATTAAAGTTCTGCCCACTTTAATCGGTTGTTTATAGCACGTCTTTGGCCGCCACAAACCCAAAAGACATGATGACCATAGTTTATACAATATTGATCTAGAAATTTTCAAAACGTGGGGGCACTCTATTTCATTGTTTTTATGGAAATCCTTGCAATGTAGGGTATATGAAGTGTGATGAAAATCAACGGTTTTTTGATCAATGGTATTTTTTGCTTTATAAAGTCTTTATTATCTTGAGGTTAAGATTTAAGTCCCTTGGGCGACGACAGTGCCAGCACTACCCTTAGGCAAATGAGGTGGTCACCTAGGACCCCCACTTGTCTAGGCCCGCTCACGTGTGTTTTACAAAATTATATATATAAATTGTTAAAAAAATAAAAAATTAAGATATTTCCGTAAAATGATCAATTTTTTTTTTAAAAAGATTGTTCTTTATATCGTAAATATCATAAATATCTTTATATCAAAGAGACTGTTCTTTATATCATAAATTTTTAAAAAAGATTGTTCTTTATATCATAAAAGATGTACATTCAAAAAAAATTGTATCATATTCTTGTATAAAAAATTACAATATTCTACACTCTTATTTTATCTAAATTTATAATAACTCTATCCTGTTTATACAATTATATTTTCTTGAACTATAATTTTCAAGTTAAGTGAATTTAATTTAATCAGTTACATAAAATGTTTGTTTTGCAAGTTGATTTTCACCTTAAATATACCTGTTAAAAGATATAAATTTAAATATTTAAAAATAAATATAAAAATAAAAATAAATTATTCATCTAAAAAAAATTTTTTGGGCCCCATCTAAAAAATCACCCTAGGATCTCAAGTATTCTTGGGCTGGCATGAGTGACGAAAAATGTGATTGGTTAGTAGAACGGATCTCAGTTATTTGGATGAACCATATCCAAGTCTCTAGTGTGGGTCTGAATCTCTATCGAAACGCAAGTCCCGATTTAATTGGTGCATGAGTTGAGGAACAAGTCCATGCACCCAAGATTTGCTTTCAGTTCTACTTGGAATCACGAGTCTAAGTGATATAAGCGCGCTTCTAATCGCTGGGCGCAGACCAAAGATTTCTTTCGTTACCCAAAAAAAAACAAAAGTGCAATGAAATTCAATAATGGAAACACATGATGTCGATACAAATCTTGAGAAATTAGAGTGAAAAAAAATCGAATCACGCTTAAATATGTTCAAATTGAGACAATACAATTTAATAGAGTGATTCCCAATCGACATAAGACTATTTACTAGCCACAACTAATACTGCTTCGCAGTAGATCGATGACGACTGACCACAATTCAAAAATGGTTTTCAGTAGGTGACAGACTGCTAACCACAATTTATGAATAGTAGGTAGTAGTAAACTACGGGTCATTAATTCTTTGTGACTCCTAATAATAAGACTATTGGCTATAATTATAAACGATTCAAGTTGTTGTTGGAGATCGAAGTCTTCAACTGTAGTCTAGATTCTTGCAATTTGTTGACCTAAGAATTTAAAAATGGAAAATATTATTTGGACTTAATTTAGTACAGTCATTATATTGAAAGTGAACTTCATATAACTCTAAAATTCATAATTAATCCAATATGGTATTGGTCTTTAAGAATTGTTTTCATTAATTCCAAACAAGACTCTGACCTGGGCTAGTTAGATGTGTGTGGTGCCTATAGTCCCCAAGTGGGAACAAATATGAGACTAAGACTTTTCAAACTTAGAAATATGATTTAATCATGTATCACATAATGTAGTCACACTGAAAAATTTCAACGGTTAGAGTGATACAATATTGCTATTGGA